AGTAAGTAAGTAAGCAAACAAGTAAGTAAGTAAGCAAACAAGTAAGTACTGTAAGTAAGTAAGTAAGTAAGTAAGCAAACAAGTAAGTAAGTAAGCAAACAAGTAAGTACTGTAAGTAAGTAAGTAAGTAAGTAAGCAAACAAGTAAGTAAGTAAGCAAAAGTAAGTAAGTAAGTAAGTAATTAAGTAAGTAAAATTTTGTTTATAAAGCGCCTTTCACAGAAATGGAATTCACAAGGGGCTGTACAATAATCAATAATATAGAAAAAGTTGATAGTTAGAAGATGCTGTACAATAATCGAATATAAATAGAAAAACAAAAATACTTGACAATTACATTACAAATGATGAAATTTCAGTCAGTACATTCTCACTTTTTGGAATAGTAAGTGGCATGGAATAAAAATGATGAAGAAAATACTAATTAAGGTGTATATTCAATAAATAGGCTTGCCTGTAACTAATTGGAGTCGATGGTCATGGCGTATAAAATGTAAATGAATGGATACCAGTCAGAAGTAGAAGACATGTTTTGCAGTCATGGAAGTTTAGGTTCAGGATTATGTTGTGGACGGCAGGATACCTTCAGCTAAATGCTTGAGTGAATAAATGTGTTTTAGTTGATTTTTAAAGGTGTCAGTGTTATCAAGGGAGCACAGATGGACTGGGAGATAATTCCAAAGTCTGGGAGCCATGGAGGAGAAAGCACGGTCTCTGCGGGTCTTGAGATAGGTAGTGGGGGAACATGAGAAGGTTCTGATTTTGTGAACACAAATTGCTTGTTGGATTGTAGTGGGAGATGAGGCTCGAGATGTAACTGGGCGCCTGGCCATGTAGTGCTCTGAAGGCGAGAAATAGAATTTTGAATCTGAGTCTGAAGTGGACAGGAAGCCAGTGAAGCTCTGATAAGGTCGGAGTAATGTGGGAGAGTTTCGATGTGCGAGTTAGAAGTCTTGCTGCTGAGTTTTGTACAAGTTGAAGACGATTAAGCTGTTTTTGGTTCAAGCAGGTGAACAGACTGTTGCAATAGTCAGGCGGGTCGAGACAAAGGCATGGATTAGCATTTCTAGGTCAGAGGCAGACAGTGTGGGGTGAAGTTTTGAAATGTTACGGAGCTGAAAGAAGCATGATGAAGCCAGACTTTTAACATATTTATCCAAGGACAGACCTGAGTCTAAGTTGAATTCTAGGTTTCGTATGTTCTGTTTAACTGTTGGACCCAGAGAGCCAAGCTGCTCTTTTATCTCTGTGATTTTATTTTCTGGTGCCAGGATCAGTGTCTCAGTCTTGGAAAGGTTAAGGAGCAGAAGGTTGTCTGATAGCCAGCGATTAATTTCAGTGATACAGTTTAGAAAGGAACGCAGTTTGTGGAAGCTGGACTCATTAAAAGAGCAAGTACAGCTGCAAGTTGTCTGCATAGAAGTGGTATGAAATGTCAGGAAAATTGTTTATGATCTGACTCATGAGGCGGGATGTAGATGAGGAATAGGACAGGGCTCAGGATGGAACCCTGTGTGGTACTCTGCAGGTGAGTTGTGCCGAACCAGAACATGTTTGATCTACAAGGACTGAGAAGAAGCGGCCTGAGAGGTATGACTAAACCAATCAAAGACAGCTCCAGATATCTGGTTTGTCAGATTACATAATAGAATGGCGTGATCCACAGTGTCGAAGGCAGAGGAGATGTCTAATAAAAGTAGAACAAAGAGGCCTCTGTTAGCAGACATCAGGAGGTGGTTAGATACTCGAAGAAGAGCCGTCTCTGTTGAATGGAATTTTGKGTTTTATTTTCATCCAGGTMGGCTGTCAGTTGTACTGATACAATTTTTTCCAGGACCTTASAGATAAACRGTAGTTTGGAAATGGGCCGATAGTTGTTTAGGTCTGACGGGTTAAGGGACTGCTTGTTTATTCTGGGTTCTACAATTGCTTTTTTAAAGGATCCTGGGACACATCCAGATGTCAGGGAGAGGTTCAGCAGGTTTGCAAGAGAGGGCCCCACCGCATCAGACGGATTTTAGAAAACTGAGTGCATTTGTTTTAAATGGGCTTTATGGTGGTTCAAATTAAGAGAAACGTCATCTTCTCAGCTTTGTTTATAAGAAAAACCTGAAAAAACTTGAAGAAATCACAATAGTCACAACCGAAATAGTATGTGAGCAGAAGATTTGGTAAGTGTCAATAAAAAGCATAAGAACAGGAGAGGTAAAGTTAGGAAAAACAACAATGTATTGATTTTGCAACAATTTTCTGAATATTATTGAATATATTAATTACTATTGTTTATAGCTATTTGTGCCAGTTAATTGTGTGGATATGGCCTATATTATTTAATTCACTTAGAGCATTTTTGTCTTTTATTGTGACAATTACATTTTTGCCCTGGACATCTCACATTTTTTTTTTCCTAATTTCACACACAAAAAAAGATTAATTGCTTTTTGTCTTAATATTCTGTCGTTATAACCTGTTGACAAGGTCTGGGTAAAGTAAAATAAAAGTTTACAGCGCCAAAGAAGTCGCAGTGGCTGAAAATGGAATATTAAAAAAAAAGTACGCATCAAGGCTGAATTCATCGTGTCAAACCTAATATAAAAGAGCCACTGTATGGACTCAGATTCATCTATTTCAGAAACAGGAAGCTCCAAAGCTATAATTATGACAACCCACACAACTATAATAAGAAAGCAATAAAATTACAACTATTTTGGCGAGAATATACCAAAAATAAAACGTTTATTTCAGAAAATGTAATCAAACTAGCGTCATGCATTTCTCATGCATTAAAAAGTCAGGCTGCTCAATCGAGCGCGGAGTGATCGCTCTCATCACATTTCACTTGGCACAGCTGAGCGGAGCAAATTCCCGACATGTTTACGTTCCCGTGACGCTAAATTGAGCGGCTGCTTTATTCCTTCGCTTGATAGCAAAAATGAGACACAAACCGCGRACTTTGTTTTTCCAGCTGTAGTGGTGAACGAATTAAAAAAAGAAAACGAGAGTCCGAAACAACGCTGTTTGTTTAGTAGCTTGCTAGCTGGTCTCAGCTTCGGTGGAGCTAACGGCTAACCCATTCAGGCTGATGTTTTCGTGAGTTGGTCAATGTGTTTTTAACACTCAGACGCTTTTATTCCAGGTAAATTTTTAAGCGCTAGCTCTGTCTTGGGATAAATGGCGCTGGTRATTAGGTTTCGGTGTAGTTGTGAGTGTTATCACTCCACAAGGGTTGCCACCTGATACTGTTTATCTGTGCATTAGCCACGTAAACTGCTGCTGTAGACGTAGCAGAGGCTGACGGGTTGCCTGCTCTGTATCCAAGTTATTTACCCTGAAGTCATTGCCATAACTCAAGGATCCCCCCGATGGCATGAACTGCAACCCAGCATGCGTTAGTTGGACCTGAACGGATGGTTTCCTGGGTCTGTCGTTGAGCGGATGATGAAGCGGATCATCTGGTTTATTTCAGGCTTAAACAGAAGAATGATGAAGCTGCTCTTCGCCCTCGCTTTGATCGCCTACATTGCCTGTAAGTACACCAGTTTGGATGGTTAGACCTGTAAAAACTACAACTTCTCTTTTAATCACTCACACACCGCACCAAAGCCTCCAGACTGCATTCTGACAGACAACTCTGGAAACCATAAAGGTTTTGAAAAAATTCAAAAATACTGTTTATTCCTATCAATTACCAAASTGAAACAGGGAAGAAATCTAATCATTGCAGTGTTTTTATTTATTTATTTTTTTGGGACCACCGTTTAAAATAATTATTTACACTTGTACGCAGTTTTCAGGGGAACAAAGCTTCATCCAAACAGTTTGGAGAACTAACCACAGTTCTGTCGATGTAGACTGGTTTTGTAGGGATGTGGATAATTTTTTTAATCCTACACCAATATTAAATCTGACAGCGGATTCCAAAAGAACATTTCAAACCATACAAAATAACACTAAAAACCATGTGATTATCTGAAGTAAGAGGGAAGTTATTGATGTTTGTTTAGGTGAAATCAGCTCATGTTTTCTTGCTGCAGTTCACAGCAGAACCAATGAGGCCTTTGTGACCATTTCACCTTGCTGTTTTCTAATTTTGCTCATAACTTCCTCATTGTTCAAGATATCGACATGAAATTTTAGGAAAAGATTCCCATTCTGGTTTTGTAGGAAGCATCTTGTATCCTAAAAAACTAATAAAACTTAATAATAGCCAAAGCAAAAGTAGCAGAAAAGGTATAAAATAACATTACAAGGCAAACTGTAGCATCAAATCAACTTAATGTGTCTTAGAAAGTAAGGAAATTAAAACAATTTAAAAACCATGTGGACATCTGTTTTGTAAACAAAGCTCCTCAACTAATGACAGCGTGTTAAATGTGTCAAGTGACGAAGACGAGCGTCAAAACACTTTGCAACAATCGTTGTTCCGGATTTAAAAAAAACAAACTTCGACGTTTCAAATCTATCAAATTTAGAACAAGGGCAGATAAAATAATGTTCTTCATAGCAGCTTATCTCTTTAAGGGTCACTAAAAAAAACTCAGGTGATTTACTTTGATCCTCTTTTCAAAAAATTGTCTCTTCAAAATGCATCAACAAAAATTAAAAACTCAAAGACGAGGYTGTAGCTAACTAACTGACTGCAGCCCGATTTGTTGAAATTCGTAGAAATAACGAAGCAGGAGGAAATTACAAGCAAACGCACCGAGCAGCCTTGCAMAATCTGGTCACAGCAGTTTGTGAAGAAAATGGCAGCAGCTGCTGACAAAATGACAACATCCATAGGTTTTGTAATCCCAGACTCACTCAGTCATGTTGAAATAAGGGGTCTGTTTTGGTCACTTCCTTGTTCTCATTTATGCAGAAGATGCTGTCTTAATGATAATAAAACAGTATACAGTATTTAGAGCACAGTTGATCATTGTGTCTGTGGTTATGAACCCTGACTGTATTTTTGTGCTTCTTAATTAAACCTGAAAAGCAGAAGTTACTGCTTTAACCTGTGTCTTGTTGTGGTGTCTGACTCGTGACAAACTGTCTTCCTCCATCTTGGTGGCATCCTTATCCCGTTTTAAACCTCATATCTTACATTTCTGTTTTAGTTAATAATTGACTTTCAACGTATGCGACCACCAGCACCTGTTAGAACTAGTTAATCATACACCTAACTTGAACCCTACAAAATTCATGACTTGTACAAGTGTACCCTATGAATAGATGTTGTTTTAAAGACCATGTTTACATTAAATATCTTTTTGATAGCGGAGCTGGCCCAAGTGGCAGGGAGCCTGCTGCACCAGCGACCCGACTCCAGATAAGTGGAAGAGGATGGATGGATCTTTTTGATTTAGATTTATGTTTTGCTAGATTCTTAGTGTAAATTGTTAAAATTGATAATTGTGCAAKTAATATTTTTCCCCACTAGCCTAACATATTTGCAGAGTATTGCATGTTGATGGCTTTGTGCCATGAATCTTCAGTTAAATGACGGAAAGTCATTTATTAAAATTAAGACACTATTTACTGAATAAATAACAGTTAAATTTTACTTCTGATTAAGTTTGTTAAGAAGTCCACTTGTTAATATCAAAACCAAGAGATCCTACAATAACTTTTGTAGGCAGATTATGCTTCACCTATTGTCAGGTTAATCTTGTTGATTTATGTTTAATACTTGACACATAAGAACATGGCCCAATGAATCATTTACCATCTGAAGCATCCATCCATTTATTTTCTTTTACCTGGTTTTTCCTTTATGGGTTGCAGGTGGCTGGTGCCTGACTCCAGCTTTCATTGTGTRAAAGACGGGGTACACCCTGACAGTCAATCACAGGAACATATAGAGCAGGGGTGTCAAACTCAGGTCCTTGAGGGCAGCTATCCTGCATGTTTTCCTTGTTTTTTGCTTCAACACACCTGATTCAGTGCTTCAATTAACTCCTTAAATTCTGTAGAAGACTGTTAATCATCTATTCATGCAAATCAGGTGCGTTTGAGCAGGAAAACAAGAAAACATGCAGGACAGCGGCACCTCGAGGACCGGAGTTCGACACCTGTGTTATAAAGACAAATGACACAACCACTCGTACTCTCATCCACACCTGGGGACAATTTAGAGTTACCTAAGAATCTAACATGCATGATCCCTGGGAGTAAACCAGAGTAACCAGGAGAAAACCCACATGTGCACAGGGAGAACATGCAAACTCCACACAGAAAAGGCTCCAGGTGGCGAATAGGTGGCCTTCTTGTGATGGGGAGACAGCTCTGCTGTTCTATTGTGACACTTTAGTTGATAGTACTGTCTAAAAAATATCTTTATTTCTGTTAATTCAGTGATAAAGAATAAAAATATTTTATTTTCAGCGTTTATTGCACTTTATGACATTTTAAAAACTTGTTTTGCTTGAGGTTTTTTGAAACATTTAAGAAAACTGCATGGAAAGTGGTTTGTGGTAAAATGATAGTAAGTAAAAATAATTAAAGTAGAACCATGTGTTTGATGGTTTAAGGCATTTTTTTAAACTTATGGTTAACATGAAGGTTGACTTTACAGGTCAAAAGGTTTTCTCGTATTTGCAAAGAAACAAATATCTTACTGGAATTTCATAGTTTTCTACTGTCTTGATAAATATTTTTGATAAAGAAAATCAAAAACATTTGTCTGTGTCTATGAAAACTGGAAAAGTTTCAGTTGCTTGTGCAAAAAAAATCTCCCCACTGAAACTGTTAACAGAAAAGACCTTGAGATTAAGTGTTGCTCCTCAGTTTAGGAAGATTTTCACTGTCCAGTGTGTCACTCACTGTTATAACTTTACTTTTTATCATTTGCACTATGATAACAATTATATTTACCTGTTGTCTTTATGCTCTTTCAGCTGTTTGGGGAACGTATGCAAACATGAGGTGAAGTTCTTTCTTCTGTTTATCTACTTTTTGTAATTGTATAACACCAATATAAAAACAAAATGTTAGCCTTATCACTAAAGGGACACAGTTAAAATCAGAGCATTTTATAGGAACTAGTTTTTAATGCATGTTGACAAGATGCTCCAAAAATGTATACAGTTTAAAATATATTAAGTAAAAACAAACTTGAAAAAGCTCAAGTTGTTCAATTCAAAGATAAACTAATGTCCAAACTAATACATTTGACTTTTTCAAAGACCTGTTAATTTGTTTTTTAGTCTAAGCAGCTCACTTCTTAATGTTTTCACTTGCAGTTTTTGTTTTGAAGCAGCAGTTTAATATTGTGTACTAAAGTCACATAGTTTTGTTTGCTTTAGAAGCAAATAAACATTGACTTACAGCTTGAACTGATGTTCTCATGTACTCCTTTGAGTTTCATGTTGCTGATGTTTTATGACAGATTTGTTTTTCAAAGAGTGATTGTTTATTTTACACTTGAAGCAAACTATAAAAAGAATCCATAAGAATGTTTTAGATAAAACCCAAACGTTGGATTATAACATCTATTTTCACTATTTTTTTGAATGATTAAAAAAGACTTATCATTTTGGACGATTGTAAGCAAAATGTAAATGATAAAAATATTTAGTTCCCACTGTAAAAGTGATGTTCTGGGTTGGTAAATTTAGTTTTACTTGGCAGAGGTAGAAATATTCCTCTTGAAGTCTTCTTGTGTCTCTTTTGTGGTTATGTGTGATGTTTCCTCACACCACTGTTTATTTTTTTGTTTTGCCACAGATCAATACAAGAACAAGGAGAAATGAAGATTGAGCAGAAAATTGATGAAGTGAGTTTGACATGTAAAGCTGTTTTCATCCCATTAATTCACAAGGCCAGTCTAAAATRTAGAATATTTTGTTATGTTTATAAAAGAGATTTATCTAACAATAACAGCTTCAATTCTGGTAATTAATGTCAACAGTAAAAACCTCAAGGTTTTTCATTTTCTTCCCTCATGTCCTTTGTGCCTTTTTATTGTTTTTTGTAAAGACTATTTTATATTTATATAATCTTAACAAATTTTCAAGCAGAAATATAAAAATCTGCAGGGAGAGAAGCGTGTATTAAATCTTTTAACGACAGCATTCAAAGACTTGTTTACATCTTTTAAAGGAGGCAGCATAAACCTGTTTTTGATCGAGTTAATTAATATGATCTACAACAGTGCTGTAGTGATTAGTTTGCATTGAGCAAATTCAKAATTTGACATCTGTGTCTGAAGAATACAATTATCTGCACACACGGCGTTATGAGAAAACTTGTGATATTTTGAGTTTGAACAGGGTGGATGGTTTGGTTAGATCACTAAATGGCAAAGATGTAGCTGAACAGGACTTTTCCTGAAGCTGAGTTAAATATTCATACAAAAGAGACCTTCTTCCCTTTTTAAATCTGTCAAGTTATTATTTGATTCTCCTAATTAGTTCATTTCCTGTAGATGACCTTTCTTGAAGTTTTAAGAAACTCACTAAAAATTGTTGATATTTGCTCAAACAATTTTTCACACAATGAAATCCAACAAGTGCTTATCATCTTTTATGCAATTTTTAATTAGATACACTGTTAGGTGCTCTACAGATAAATTAAATTGACTTTTCTAATGACCTGCATCAAAGGGAAATAAAAATAACTCCTGTTATAATTGGGCAATGAGAACCCAGGCTTGCTCGGTTAGGAAGTCATTAATACAACCAAAATTTCAGCTTGCATATTAAATCAACATATTTGCTTATCACATATTTTGTGGTTCTTGCTGAGTAAATTAGTTTATCGCTTTGACCTTAAAGTTTAAAGAATTTGCTAGGCTTTGAAATCCTATCAGCTTTCTGTCAGTCTTATGGGTAAACATTACTGAAGACTCCACATTATGATGAGGGCAACAAATACAGTTTGCAAAAGGACACAATTGAAGATTAATGCTTTAATTTGGAGTCAGCGTCTCGACATGTTGAAACCCCAGCAGCTGTTATTAACCACAGTGGATGCAAGAAGTTAAGAACGGGAAAAGTGCTAAATGATTTAAATCAATATTTTTATTGTTTTAAAAATCATTATTACTAAAAGTGAATTTAACTTGGCCTTTAATGCAGTTGTTCTCAACCTTTTCTGCTTTTTCACATTATAAAAGTTGCACAGACTCATGACATTTTCATGGTCAAAGTAATAAAAATGTTGCTAATTAGCCTTAACCTTGAAGAGCCTCAAAAACATTGTTTTTTTTTAATTCATTTATGACTGTTTTTATCTTTCTCTGCTGAATATTTGGCATTTATTTGTAAAGTTATTATTGCTTGCCATAGAAAGGCAGGCAGTCATGCAACTGCATGTGTGTTAATTTCTGTTTGTTAGCAAAATATCATCAGTCATTTCGATTGATTTGAGTGAAGCTCAGTGTAATTAAGTGATTCACTCTGAATTTACTGCTTCTCGACTCACTTCAGGCTGTGGCTCCTTTGAGAGAAAAGATTCATGATCTGGAACAAAGGTATGTATATTTTATTGCTTTTTTTTCACAGCTTGTCTCATTCATATCTTTTCTTAGTTAACTTTATTATCTAGAACATCTACAATAAGAGCAAAACATTTCAATGAGTTTTAGATCGGGGCTCGTATTTGTCAAACTTATATTGGAACTTTATACTTAAGTGTTGAAAATTTCTTAAATTTACTCCTACTCTCAGACTTAAGTGTAAATGCCACCTATCAATATTCTTAAGTCTAAGAATCACTTACACTCCCAGATATTTAAGACTGCTCCAGAGGACTCATAAGTGGTTAAGAGTTGCCACTAGGTGTCTGAGCTGGACTGAGATATTATTTTCCTCAAGAAAACTGTGCATTACCTCAAAAACTGCACTAAGTGGTCCGGGGTCCCCCACCTGAGTGTGATTCTCAGTTAAAATGTACAGATTAACTAAAATAAGATGTGTAAAACAGGTTTAGTCATCAATACAAAAGAAAAAAGAGAAAAACAATTACCAGTGCCATAATTTTGAACTAAAAGGTGAATATTTCTGGTTAAATCTTGGAGAGAATAACTATCAGCTGGTGAATGAATGCAGACACCCCTGTAAAGCACCTTAGGGTCCAAGTGGGCTTGATAAGGTGCTATATACACTCACCGGCCACTTTATTAGGTACACYACGCTAGTAACGGGTTGGACCCCCTTTTGCCTTCAGAACTGCCTCAATTCTTCGTGGCATAGATTCAACAAGGTGCTGGAAGCATTCCTCAGAGATTTTGGTCCATATTGACATGATGGCATCACACAGTTGCCGCAGATTTGTCGGCTGCACATCCATGATGCGAATCTCCCGTTCCACCACATCCCAAAGATGCTCTRTTGGATTGAGATCTGGTGACTGTGGAGGCCATTTGAGTACCGTGAACTCATTGTCATGTTCAAGAAACCAGTCTGAGATGATTCCAGCTTTATGACATGGCGCATTATCCTGCTGAAAGTAGCCCTCAGATGTTGGGTACATTGTGGTCATAAAGGGATGGACATGGTCAGCAACAATACTCAGGTAGGCTGTGGCRTTGCAACGATGCTCAATTGGTACCAAGGGGCCCAAAGAGTGCCAAGAAAAGATTCCCCACACCATGACACCACCACCACCAGCCTGAACCGTTGATACAAGGCAGGATGGATCCATGCTTTCATGTTGTTGACGCCAAATTCTGACCCTACCATCCGAATGTCGCAGCAGAAATTGAGACTCATCAGACCAGGCAACGTTTTTCCAATCTTCTCTTGTCCAATTTCGATGAGCTTGTGCAAATTGTAGCCTCACTTTCCTGTTCTTAGCTGAAAGGAGTGGCACCCGGTGTGGTCTTCTGCTGCTGAAGCCCATCTGCCTCAAAGTTCGACATGTTGTGTGTTCAGAGATGCTCTTCTGCCTACCTTGGTTGTAACGGGTGGTTATTTGAGTCACTGTTGCCTTTCTATCAGCTCGAACCAGTCTGCCCATTCTCCTCTGACCTCTGGCATCAACAAGGCATTTCCGCCCACAGGACTGCCGCTCACTGGATGTTTTTTCTTTTTCGGACCATTCTCTGTAAACCCTAGAGATGGTTGTGCGTGAAAATCCCAGTAGATCAGCAGTTTCTGAAAAACTCAGACCAGCCCTTCTGGCACCAACAACCATGCCACATTCAAAGGCACTCAAATCACCTTTCTTCCCCATACTGATGCTCGGTTTGAACTGCAGGAGATTGTCTTGACCATGTCTACATGCCTAAATGCACTGAGTTGCCGCCATGTGATTGGCTGATTAGAAATTAAGTGTTAACGAGCAGTTGGACAGGTGTACCTAATAAAGTGAGTGTAAGTTCAAGTGAGTGTAAGTTCAAGCCCTTTAATATGTCTGTATTCATGATGCAAATGAGGAAATTTTGTGTAATTTACAGATAAGCAGTACATGTATGAACATTATTGTGTCGAATGTGAACTTTATTTTATGATTTTCACAGTTTTATTCTGACATTTCTCTGAAAATATTCTTGAACATGAAATATGAGGCTGTAAGTGGTTCATGCCGGGGGTTTTGTAACAACGTCATCCAGGATCAGCTTTGCGGCACAGCGAAGTGTCAGAAATCAGCTCTAAGACTGAAGAACTACTCTTACACTTCACTTAAAGTGAGACTGAGACAGTGATAAATGACTTTTGGGCTCAGCTTTTAGCTAACACCGTTTCTTTACACTTAAACCTATTAACAGCATTTTTAAGAGTAATTCTAAGAAATTTAATAAATACGGGCCCAGATCACATCTGAAGGCAAACTCAAAGATGATTTCATTTCTGTTTACTAAATATAACAAAAAATACAACATGTTTTGAACTAAAACTGAACATAAGCCCTATTCTGCTTGTGAAAGAGTTCCCTTGTTCATGTTGATACCTTGATTTATAATGGCATAACTGGTATTGTTTCAATGTGACCTAAAGCACTGATTAGTCTTCGATTTATTTAGATTTGCTTTGTAGAGGCATAGAGTGCTGTATGAATGTAAGTGTGGATGGGTGAATAAGGGAACAGATTGTGTTGTAAAGCATTTTGAGTAGAATGGTTGGCTAGAAAGGTGAAACATAGCACAGTCCATTTACCTTAGTCAGTGATCTATAAATCTGCAGTATGTGTGAAGGTGATACTAAAGCAGGTGGCCTCAAAAGATGCTAAGGGAGGCATGTTTGACTTGTAGTAATTTTATACATTTGACTTTCATGAATATGAGGTTTAACTTTTTAAAGGGTTGGTATAATGGATTTTAACTGAAATTATCTGTTAACCAAAAATAATTAAAAAAAATCCCCAACATTTTGATTGTAATTGAAATTAGAATTGTTTAAGGTTAAGGAAGCACAATATGTAGGCATTAACATTGTAATTGGCAGATATTGGTCATTTTTTAGACTATTGGAATCGGTCCRATAATTAAAACTGGGCCAATATTAATGTCTATTGATTTCCCACTGTTTAGCTTTGTGTTTCTGTTTTGGGAGGGGAGATGGTTGGTCAAGTGTTTTCTGCTTGATCATGTTAGTGATGCTGGGCAGCCAGGAATAACTGAAGTAGAGAACCATGTCAGCGGTGTGGTCTTTATTTATTTATTTATTTATTTTTTTTACAGTATCGAAAAAAGACAAGTGAATCTGTGCATATATGAATATAAATAACTTGTCTTTGTGTAATATCAGTAAATAACAGATATCAGCCATATAACATCAATAATATCGGATATCGATATCATCAAAATTTTCATATCGGTGCATCCCTATTTGAGATGTAATGGTAAAGGATGTAAGTGGAAAATATCATATTTTCATTGTCAGTCCTTACAGATTCACCATAATGCCCAATTGCAACATATAATCCAAATGAGTCATGCTACATTTTTAATTCATGAAATTAGAACTGATTTTCTAGAAAACTGCAGAAAAGGATCTATTCATCTTTCATTTTCTCTTTGCCTTTTTTTCTCAAAATGTTCTTAATTGAAGAGGTCATCTTTTCTCCCAGCTTTTTTCAGAAATACCCACCCGTGAAGTTTCTCTCAGAAAAAGATCGAAAGAGAATTCTGGTAAGTGATGAATGCCCATCACAGTTGTGTAATTACACCTTAAATAACAATTTCACAGAAGCTATTATCGTCTGTAAAACATAATAGGCAGTAATTGCAGATTCACTTCCACTCTTTGTAAAACTGTGGAATAAATCACAAATATGTGAATGAACTTTAACATTATGATCACCTGCTTAATAGGGAGTAGTTTCTTCTTTTTCTTTCATCAAAACAACCCAAGCATCAGAACATCTGAGGGTGTTCTGTATTGTCTGATTTGTAAATATTATTAATAGATTTTGTTATATTTTGGTTTTGGTCTTTGTGGATTTTAAMCCTGTCTGTCAGGGTCTTCTGAAGCAGTGAGATTAAACCCCCATAACTGTGTTTTTCAATGAGACTGCAACAGTTCAATCTCATTTAAAAGTGCTACTTTTACATTACTACTGTATGTCTGAGCTAGGCAGATATCCATCACAAAGTCATGTTTAGTTGCCATTAGATTAATGAAAAAGAGTGCATGGATTCATTTATAGAAAATGTTAAAAGAACATCCATCTCAGGATCAAGGTTTTCCCACCAGATTGTTATAATTTGAGCACTCTCTCAGGTCATCGTAATGTTATGGCTGGTCATTGCTATTTCAGAAGTTGTGCATAAGTGTTTTTTTTTTTGTTTTTTTTTTGCATTCAAAAGACACTCCTTTGTCCTCACCCTGCTAAATACTCCCTTCGTTTTACGACTTAGTAAGAATTTGTCATGTTGTCTGTGCCTGCTGATTTCCATGACCTCATTACTATCACTATCGTAGCCTAAACATAAAGCCAACAGGACAAATACTGCTTCGGGGTCTTCAACTAAATTTATCTGGTGTGTGTTATCTGCATGGTTATAAACCAACATGACCTTGTTGCTAAATGTTTTGTGTTTGCAACAACCATCATGGAATATGTCACACACAATCTCTGTTGTAATGGTTAGACTACTTTATTCTTTATTGGCACCTGAAAACCTTAAAAAGACCACCTATATTCTAGTTGACTTTTCTTTTTTACGTTATCATCCAGAGTGAAGCAAAACTTGCTTGACGTTTTTTCAAATGTATGATTAAAGATGTCAAGATTACTATAATAATTTAGTGACCCTTCTTGTCTGTAATGTTTACTGATTTATGCAAATGTACCTTTCTTTGGTTAATTGTTTTGTGATGCTGTCATTCAATTTACATGATTATTTTTTGTCCTTTTTTATTTAAAAATAAAAGTTGGATAACTGTTCTGCTCCACTATATAAAACTTTTTTTGGCTGTTAATAAAAAAAAAGAATCATTATCCAGAGCTTAAGATTTACAAGCTGGACTGTACACAGTATTATGGTAAACAGTTGTTCCAATTCAAGCACTTATTCATGCTGTAGTAAARAAATCAAATATTTAAAATGTGGATATGGCTTTTAAAAAGTAAGCTTGTGCAATAATAGCCTGTTATAGCCTGACATTTCTTTAACCTCAAACTTTATTTATATAACAAAAGGAAAGTATAGGGACTTTGTGTTAGGTATATAAAACATATGAATATTTGTTTTGGCATTACAGACCATTTCATTTTGTTGTTGACCTTAAATATTTGAAGTTGCTACAATTTAACATCTGAGTTCCTGTGTTTTACAGTAATTGTGTTAATAAACTTGTGCTCAAAGTTAATATTTCCAGAATGGATGGCTGCTCTGGGTGCGTCCGTAGTTTAACCAGAACACACACACACACACACACACACACACACACACACACACACACACACACACACACACACGTTTGCAC